TGACTAAAAAGGCGTACGTTTTTCTTCTCCTTTGTGAAAGGTGTGTTTAAAAGTACTGGGTATAGTGGCATACACCTGCAATGCCGGCACTTGGGAAGAGAACCTGTCTGGAAAAAAAAACCCACAACTAAAACATGTTTCTTTGAGGTCATGAATGTCTGCTACCGAAAAGTAAAAGCTATCTTTGTTATAATATTAATTTAATTTAATTTTATTTTATTTGGGTCCAGGGATCCAACTCATGATCTCATACTTGCCAGGCAGGCGCTTAAGCCACTGAGCTAACTCCCCAGCCCAGAATATTAATTTTAAAATATTATTCATTCATTTGTAAAAAGTGCCTATTATAGGGCATCACTTTTATTCACTGGTTTTGTGTTAGTTTACCAATTTTATCTCACTGATTTATTGCAATAAGGGTATAGTCACTATTAGAAGACTGTGAGGATTCCCATAAAATTACAAACATAAAGAAATTTCTCTGTTAAGAATTTATTTCACATGTAAATTACATGACCATAACAGATTAATTTGGAAATACAATGCAGAGTGTGTTTGTTACTTTTCTTGTTGCTGAGACAAAATACCTAACACCTTCAAGTTAGAGGAGGAAAGGTTTATTTTGGTCCAGAGTTCATACAGGTTCAGTCCATTGTCAGGTGGCTCCAAAGTAGGGTGGTGTGACAGGAGGAAGAGGAAAAACAGCCCATGAAAGGGTAGACAGGAAGCAGCAAGCGACAGGCCCCCCTTCTCTTTTATCCCATCTAGGCTATAAACCTTTCGGGTGGTGCCACCCACACCTAGGCTAGGCCTTCCCATCATCCACATCCAGAACTATGATAAACAGATTAATGGGGTAATCCAGTACCATACACCCTTAATGCCAGTATCACACACCCTAGAACCAGCCACCTCTAAAAATCCCCACCTGAGAGCACATGGGGGGACATCTAGGTAGAAGCCATAAATGCAGAGTATCAATTTTTACTTTTGCATATGTGGGTAATCAAATTTCAAAAGATTAAATGATAACACTCTAAATATAGAGCTTCCCTAAGTATAAAAGCACTTTAACGCTTGTGTTAGTTTTCTGTTGCCTGTGATAATCGATTTGTACAGAGGGGATGTTGCCAGGGGTGATGAAGTCCCCAGTAGGTTCCTAGGTTCTTATGCGTGGCAAACAAAGAATTGCACATGGCACAGAAGGGTAAGGAAAAAGCAGCAAAGTGTAATACAATTCAATTAGGCCATGGTATACTTGTGCTGCTAGAAAGGAAAATATACAAGCACTGAATGCATTGGGTTTAAATTTTTAAAATGTGGCGCCAGGTCTAGGGTGCTTCCCATTGGGGCTTTCAGAATGTGATTCATAGCATATTGACAGAGCACTGAATCAAGTCAGCTGTGTCTACCACGCACACCCTTTCCCATAATTCACTTCCTTATAATTGGATATACGCAATGCAGTTCATATGCATGAAACTTTAATAAGCTCCAATGAAGAAAGGTTACTGCAGTTCACACCAGCAGGTTGGGCACATATGTGTCTGAGTTTGGAGTTTTAGAATCTTCCAAGGTAGGCCCAGTAGTCTTTGTCCTTTTTCTCTCTGCCTCCAAATAGTACACCTTTAGAACAGTGATGACAAACCTTTTAGAACTTTCTATGATGACAGGTAGCAGGCCAGGGCTGTAGCTCAGTGGCACAAGTGCCTGCCCAGCAAATGCAACATTGTGAGTTTGATTCTCAGAACCAAAAAAACAAAACCAAACAAACAAAAACACCCAACCTGCTGTGGCACATGGGTCACAGGTTCACCACCACTGCCTTAAGACAAAGGTCAGGGGTATGGCTCTGGGGTTACCAGGTGGAGGGGAGTACACAGATTTATTTTGGTTCAGAGTTTCAGTGTGTCAGCTGAGCCAACACTTTGAGCTTATGGCCAGGCTGAACATTATGGCAGAGAGTACGTGGTTGAACAAAACTGTTCAACATAAGACTGTAGAAATGCAAAAAGAGAGAGAGACAGAGAAAGGCAGGGGCCAGGGTCCCAGTAGCTCCTATAAGGGCATGCATCCAGTGACCTGCCTTTCTCTCACAGGACTTCCCCTCTCTTAAAAGTTTCCACCATCTCCTAATAGCACTGTCTGGTTGCCAATCAAGCCTTTAGCACATGGCCTTTGGGTGACATTTACAATCCAAATGATAACAATGAGATGACTCATAAGGTACCTAAAACATCTGAGCTAAGTATCTCCTTATACCTGTCCAATAGGCATCCTATGCTGGAATATTGAGTATATGGGGATTAGATGGACGTGGAGGGAAAGACACGAGGAAATACTGTTAAGCATATGGCTCTGGAGTCAAACAGCAATTGAAATAGTATCTCTCTTACAAGCCTTGTGATCTTGGTCAGTTACATTGGGCTGAAGGGCATCCTCTGTAAACTATGGGTAATGATGACACCCACAAGTTGGGTAGGAATCAAAACTGAGATCCTGATTGTAAAGGGCTCAGTACATGGAGGACACAGCATAAGTACTTAGCAAATAATGAGAGCTCTTGTTAGCTGATAGCAGTATCTTCACCCATCTAGGGAAATAAAGGAAACTCCAGGGCCAAGCATATAGTTCTGTGGGACAGAGCCAGCTTACCATGCATGAGGTTCTGGGTTTGATCCCAAACACACACACACACACACACACACACACACACACACACACAAAGATGCAACTCCAGAATCTGTGGCAGGAGGGCCTCAAGGGCAGCAACTATGGTAGAATTTGGGTAAGACACTGCTTATATATTGTCTATGCTTAGGGGCAACCTCTCCTTTCAACACTGCTCTCATTCTGGAGATATTCAAGGTACATCTCTAACTGCCTTTTCCTCTGTGTCTCACCCATCACAAGCCAATTAACCAGTCAACAAATGCAAAACATACCCCACCAAGGATTGGACTCCAGGAGGGAATCAGAGGAGGGCTGTGCACTTTCTTGCTAAGAGTGCCATCACTCCCTGGAATTCAGTCTTTACTAAATAACCACTTAGACTCTAGACTCATCAAGCAGAGAAATCCCACTTAAGAGTGCACACCAGGCCTGGTGGACTCTAACTTCAACCAATCTCCCTTTTGATCAGTGGTTTCATTGGCCACAAACACCAATGTGGTCCGAGCAGAGTGTAGATTGATTTCCAAGGTCACTTTTAACCTGGGGTGAGGGGAAGCACTCAGACTCTGTCCTGTAGTCTCCACTGAAGACAGCCGCCAAGCTCAGCAGTCTTTCCTGCCCAGCATACCTGGACACTTCTTCCCCAGAGCAGATTGACTTTGAAATCTAGGCTTCACTTCTACTTAGCTTGTGACCTTGGGAAATGACTTATTTTTGTGCAGTTTCTTCCATGTTGAGGTAGGATAGAAGAAGTAAAAGCTAGGTAGCGAGGAGACCTAGCCTGAATGAAATAATGCCTAAAAATTGTACTTTTAAGGACTGCAACTTTTGGGCCTTAGCTGAGGTTACCCCAAGGCATTCCAAGGAGCATTTCTTCGGTTAAATTTAGGTTCCTTTCCTTCCAGACCTGTCTTACCCAAAATTCCTCAGAAATACTGTAAGTCCATAAATTGGCTTGAGAAAATAAAGAGCAGAAACCTGATCCTAAAATAAAGGAACGGGTTAAGAGAACTCAACCTGTTAGGAAACAAAACAAACAAACAAAGGCCCATCCCTGTAGAATCGGAGTGAGAGGGTCACCTTTTCCTGAAGCTTTCACCCTTCATGAGAAGCATACACGTTCCCTTTTCCAGGAAATAAGCACCTCTCTTATTTGACCTTTAATTTCTGTCTAGTAAAGCCCTCCCTGTGCCATTTATAAGTCTTAAAAATTATTTTTCTGCAAAAGTCAGAAAATTTGAAAACTTACTTTATACAGTGACGGATTTGGTTCCTTATTGCAGCTTTGGGGACCCTCCCCAGTCTCATCCCAGTGACAATGCCAAAACCCAGTCTAGTGACTGTTACTAATCAGGAAGGGATAGAACAGTACCTATCCGTAGCAAGTTTTCAACATGTTTTAGCTTTGAGGATATTTCACTCACTTGGAAACACATCTCCAAACAAAACAGATAGATATATTAACCTACCCTAGTAATACAGGAAAAAGCCCCATTTAGTTATAGACTTATGGTACACTGACTAATCTTGGGCAAGTTATGTCTTGCATAGATCTCAGTTTCCGGGCCTGTGATCTCAGTTTCCATCATAAGACTTCATTGATCTAAATGATCCAGCAAACATTTATGGAGTTGTTACTGTCTCCTGGGTTCTTCTCTGGCCAGAACTGCTTTTGTAATTACCATGCACCCAGTAGATGAGCGCCCCTAGTGGGTGTGAGGGGCACAACAACAGGGGGAGGCTTGATTCACTCTGCTTTGAAAGTTAAGAGGGTCAAAGATTCACAGGTCGAAATGGCATTCGACCAAGATTTGAAAAACGATTCACTAGCGATGCTTTTATGCTGCCGTTCCCCTCAAATCCAAGCATTCGCGGGGATCACATTCGGAAAAGCAGCCCATTTCTCCCCTTTCACTGCCGAGGTCATCACGATAAACAGCCTCGTTGGCAGTTGCACCTATTCCCCAATTAGGGGTCTGGCTTGCGTCGAACTCAGCGCCAGGGCGGTCTGCTGTCCTAGCAGACAACAGCGGAGCATCCAACGTGAAGCTGCACAAGTAGCCAGGTGCTTTTCAGCAAAACTGCGACACCCGAGGCCCAGCTCTGTGCACCGCGACAAGCCCACTGGGTGGGCGCCCTGCAGTTGAGCCACTTCCCCATCCTAGCTCCAGGCGGGGGCTTCCTGGGTCTGCAGCACTCCTCCCGCGGACAGCGCCGGGCGGCCCAGACGTGCCCGAGCCGGGGTCACGAGTGGCACGCTCGCAGGGTCACGTGGGCGGTGCGGGCGCACGCCCCCGCACCCACGGGAGGGGCGGGGCCGCGGCTGGCCTCCCGTGAAGCCTAGCGCGGGGAAGGACCGGAACTCCGGGCGGGCGGCTTGTTGATAATATGGCGACAGGCGCTGCTTGGGAATCCCGAGGAGGCGGTGGGGCTGACACCTGGAAGAAGGGTCTCATTTCGGGCTAGTGCGGCGGTTTCCGAAGACCCGAAAGTCCTAGCCAATAGCTGAATGAGGGGATCCGGGCCCTCCCCGCGACAGTCCCCCCGCGCCCTCCGCCCGGACCCGGGCCCCGCCATGTCCTTCTTCCGGCGGAAAGGTAGCTGAGGGGCGCCGGAGGGGGCCAGGCCGGGCCTCAGGGGCGGCGGGGAGAGAGGGTGGTGGGACCGGTGGGCCTGTGAGAGCTTCCTCCAGGGCGACGGCGAGGCCCGCGGTCTCCGCGCAGACGCCCCCCGATGCCTCACTGTGTTCCGGGACTCTACCGGGAGATGGTGGCCTCTTCGCGGGAGGTCAGAAGGGAATTGTCGCGCTGGTCCAAAAGTGTGCAGAGACCCGAGGAAGTTAATGCTTATTTGCTTAAGAGCTGCTTTTCAGGATTTTTGTTTGGTGGTATTTTTTTCCCCCCTATATGCTGTGGATCAAGATCAAGAAAATCACTTTTGTACTTTATTATGGAAGTGTGTGACTTTTCCAAATATTGAGGGTTTAATGTCTAAAAGCAACACACGAAAATGCCTTCTTCAATTAGTACTATACCATATTGTAGTTTCCTCTTTTTCTTGGGGGGAAGGGGAGAGAAGGTCTACTGTTCCTAAAATAAAATTACTTATTATTAAGTTTCCTGTGGAAGACGACTACTTTTGATGAGTTGGCAAATTTCCTAAGCACTGGAAGCTTAACTTTATAAACGAGCTACGTGGGTTTCTGATTTTCAGTTGGGAGAGCTGTTAATTTTTAAGTTGAGGCAGCATGGTTCTGATCCCAGAGAAGGTTGTTGCATATCATTAAATACAAAACCAGAGTGAGCAAATGAGTCTCTTTGGCTACTATTTGTTCTGTCAATTCTTGTGCTTTGGAGAAAGTGTACCAGACAGGAACAGGTTTAGGGGAAAAAAAAAAAAACCACTAAGCTAAATCAGAGGAATGGGTTCATATGACAACTCTGTTACTGTGTAACCTCGGACAAGCAAGTAAACTCATTTTTTTTTTTGGTCTTTTCAACTGAAAATCAAGTGATTCCTAAAGGCCCCATTCAACACTGGCTAAGGAATTCCTCTTCATTAAAGACAGGGTGTTAGTAACTGATGCTAGATAAGTGAATGAAACTGGTAAATGGTGGGAAGCCTTATTAATAAGTACGTTTTGTATAGTTAATAGGTAGAGAGAGCTATACATAGTTAACTATATAATTTGAAGTGCTTAGGTTTTTTTAAAAATCATTTTAAGAGTAATGTTGAACAGCAGACTGTTGGCTATTCAACAGATACTTTTGAGCTTCTGTAATTTCCCAGGCATTGTGCTAGGTGTGCATGATTGGGCAGTCAAGACAAGGCCTGAACCTATGGAACTTAACTGTTGGCTGTCATAGAAAATAACTGAGCAAACAAATTGTGTGTGTGTGTGTGAGGGGGGAGATGAACTTAGAAACTGAGTAAAGTGTAATGAAAGAGTAACTTGAGAAACACTTTGGTTGGATGTTAGAGAAAGAACTTCGAAAATTATTTGGAAACAAAGCTAAAGGATTAAGCAGGAGGTAATTTAGAGAGACCTGGAAACACTTTAGGGACAAGAAGGAGGAGCATTAATGTACCTTCAAGAAGGGAGAAAGGGTACTGTTGTGATTGAGGTATGGAAAGACAGCAAGAATGAGACGACTGAAAACTTTATAGACTATGGTTAGGTTTTATTTCAACAGAATATTATTTTAAATGCTTTAAAAAAGGAATGATCTGACCTTATGTTTTAAAAAGATCACTCTAGCAGCTTTATGAAGACTAGATGTTATAAGAGTGGAAGCTGGAGACAGTCTTATTAGGGATCCTATCTAGACTTTTAAATACCACCTATGTTTTTATGACTCCCAAATTTGTATTTCTAACTTGGCTCCTCGCCTCTGAATCCAAACTGTTATCTATTAGTCTATTTTAAAGCTCTATCTGATAAATTTACTTATAATATCTAAAATTTAATTCCAGATTTAGTCCTTCTAAACCTGTTCATCAAATGTTGGCCTTTCATTTCTCAGGCTAAAACGTTAGTACCACTGGCACTCAGGAGGCTGAGGACAGGAGGATTGCTGTGAGTTCCAGGCCAGCCTGGGCTACAAATTGTAGTGAGTTTAGGGCTAGCTTGAACAGCATAGTGAAACCCTGTCTCAAAAAGACAAAAAACAAAACAAAATTTAATAAGCCCCCCATTATTACATCCTTGGAATTTCTCTTTCTTACTTCTGGTCCAGTAGTCATTCCTCTGTAGCTCAAGTGGTTAAGGAAGTCCTAGGAAGGAGGTGTCTTTTATATGTTAGCTTTTATGTCAAGGAGCTAGTGTTTTGAAGATTGAGGAAGCACATTTTGCAACGGCCTTACATTTGGATTTTATCGAACTCCCAACCTCACACTTGACAGGCAGGCGCTTACACCACTGAGTTAAATCCCTGGCCCTGGTGGTGTATTTTCAAAACAAATGCACAGAAGCAAATCCAGGTGTGTATGAGAACAGTCTATAAAAAGAGTTCTTAGTCAGTTGGAAAAGGGTGGATTAAGCAGTAAATGATACTGGTTATCATCTGGCAAAAAAATTTTTTTCTACTGTGTAAGCAATTTTTTTTTTTTTTGTAGAGAATCAGAAAGTAAATACTGTATTTCAGGCTTTGGGCCCCTTAGAATATCAGTTTTATTTTTTTGCACTGGGGATTGCTCCCAGGGTCTCAGACATTTGAAGCAAGTACTGTGTCAGTGAGGCATACCTCCAACCCCTTATTTGTGTAATTTTAAAGATGTGCAGAGTAGCGCCATTTTTTTTCACGTTCATTATGGTAATTGTCTAAAAACACTCATGGCAGGAAAACATTTAGATTAGAACTTATATTTGGGAAAGGATCTCGTAGTGATTCATAGGAACCTTAAGCTACATATGTAAAAGGAAAGAAAGGAAATAAAACAAAATGCTAGCTAGTAGTGATAGGTTAGGTTGCTTATGTAATTCTATGTATGAGGTGTTAATGTAGGAGATCTAATTGATAGAATGTTTTGAAGGTGGAAAAAGTGGAACTGTGAAGGCATATTTTGGTGGTAGATCACTTCTTTGGATGTGGCATGTAAGACAGTGTTAAGGATGAATTCCAAGACTTTTGACCTGAGTATCAGGTGGTTGAAGGTGTCAGTTAATGGTAGACAATGACAAGTAGAAGTAGGTTTGAAAAAAGATGATATATTCTCTGACAGGCAAATGGCTAGCTATATGAGTCTGAGATAAAAAAGATTTAGGCGGGGATATAAATTTAGAAGTTACAGCTTTTCTATGTTATTGCAAGCCTTAAAATTAGGGACCTCAATTGATGATTACTTATTTTATATATACATGTGTATGTACTGAAATGTTACACTGTAGTTCACAAATATGTCCAACTACTGTGTCAGTGAAGGCTAAAAATACATTTTTAAAAAGCTTAGGGAAACAAGGTGTGGTGGCACACATCTGTAATCTCCACTAAGGCAGGAGGATTGCCCTGAGTTCAAGGTCAGCCTGGGCTACCTAGTGAGTTCAAGACTAGATTGTACTAGAGAGTGAGACCTTGTCTCAAAAAACAAAATCAAGGGGCGGGGATTTAGCTCAGCAGCATATAAGTGCCTGTCTGACAAGTGCCTAGTTGTGAGTTCGGTCCCTGGTACCAAACAACAACAACAACAAACAATAAAACAAACCAAAAAAAAAAAAAAAAAACCCAACCAAAAAAGATTAAGGAAGATCAGCCAGGAAGTACACATGTATATACAGTAAAAAGAGACAGCCACCCTTTTTCCAGAAAACTCCCAGTGGATGAAGGAAGTGAGGTCAGCAATTGGGTAAATTGAGAAGGAGCGGCTAGAAAACCAGGAGCAGAGTGGAGTATCAGGAAAGACATGACGGGTTGATGTTTCAAATAAGAGATTCACTTGCTTGGCAGTTGCCACTGCGAGGGATGCAAGTAGCAGTCACCCTACCACATTTTCTTATTTTAGCTTCCTGACAACAGTGATCAGTACCTGAGATATCTTGCTTATTTTTTCCATGAGATGATCTTACATTTTCCACACCCTTCATATAGAGGTCTTTTCCTTTCCTTTCCTTTTCTGTTTTTTTTTTTTTTTTTTTTCTCCTTCTGTTCTCTCTCTCTTTTTTTTTGTACTGGGAATCAAACTCAGGATCTTGAGCTTGCCAGGAGTTGCTGCCTTCTCTTCTGTTCTCTTTTTTTCTTTCTTTTTCAGTATTGGGGACTGAGCCCAAGGCTCGGCACTCTGAGTTGCATCCCCACCTGTTTTTATTTTTTGAGATCGGTCTTACTGAGTCACTAGATTCCCTAGTTTGGGCTGAAACTTGTAGTTCTCCTACCTCAGCCTTCTAGAGTTGCTGTGATTAAAGGCACATGTCACTGACTAAATGTAGACCAACAGGCAAGGGTTGCTGCTCTGTGTGTGTGTGTGTGTGTGTGTGTGTGTGTGTGAGAGAGAGAGAGAGAGAGAGAGAGAGAGAGAGAGAGTCTCACTACGCAATTCAGGCTGGCTTGGTGCTCTCTTCATAGCCCAGGCTGCTTAGACTGAAATGATCCACCTGCCTCAGCCTCCCAAGTGGTGGGATTATAGGTCTGTGCCACCACACCAAGCTAGGTTTGATGGTTTTTCTGTGATAGATCTTGGGTCTCTCTGACATACACTAGGCACTCAAATGGTTGGTGGATAGACTTTCAACTTTTGATGTTTAAGAGCCCAAGTAGAGAGATGTACATGTTTGGGGATTTATTTCAATAAGCTTTTGATAAGACAGTTTGTTGTTGGAAAAAAGAATAGTAAAGAGGGTTAAAAATAGTATTCTGTCAGATACTGTAATAGAGTTTACACTTGGTTTAAGCTACTGTGTACCTTCCTTTTCTGGGTGTTACGTTAGCTTGTCTGCAATATTCATTATTTTGTGTAATAGATGAAGGATTATATGATCATTTTTGAGACAGCTTGTTAGACCTTAAATGTTAGAAATTTAGAATGTTTGTAACTTTAGATGTTTGTATTTGATTGCTGTGAGGGAAATACAAAAGAAGTAAGATACACTACCAAAAAAATCTTTTTTCTTTTTTTCCATGAAGCTTGTAATAGCCAAGTATAGTAATGACTTGTGGTAATAATAGTTAACATTTACCCTAAATTTACTCTACTAATTAGTTGTCAGATGCCTTTTACAAGTACATATTGTTTCATGAGCAATCATACAAGGTTTTATGGTTGACCTAATACTATTAATCAAGGAAATTTAAACCTAGTGAAGTAAAGTAACTTTTCCAGGATTGCATGACTAATAGGGGGCAAAAGCAGAATTTGAACACTGGTATTGTGACCGTATAGTCTCTCCTTATACTCTTCTAATTTTTTTTGTCTTTTTGGACTGCTGTTCAGAGGTTACTTTGTTGGGTAAACCTTCTTTGACCATCACTCTTCTCTGTCCCCCTGTAAGAGTCCCCCTTTGAATACTTACCTATCAGAATAAACCCCTGAGTTTCACGGTGTGTAGAAAAGATCTCTTTGGCTACAAAAGTTTGTCATGACACCCTTTTGTCTTGCAGTGAAAAGCAAAGAACAAGAGAAGACCCCCGATGTCAACTCAATTAAAGGTGAGTTTAGCTGACATTTCATTGTACTCAAAAGTGATGAGCTGGGCATGCACACCTGTGATTCCAGCACTAAAGAAGCCAAGGCAGGAGGATCATCATGAGTTCGAGGTGTATGTGGTGAGTTCAAGACCAGCCTGAACTACAAAGGGAGACCCTGTCTGAAAGAACAGCAACAAAAAAGTGCTTAGCTTAGCATTTTAGCACTTAGCAAGGTGCTTAGCATAAGCTCTTTAATCCTGTTATCTTCTGCCTTGTTTTATAATTATTTATGATTGATTGTGATGTATATCCCTCTTTAACCTGTATTTTCTTCAACAGCTAACACTTAATAGGCTTTTACCAAACACTGATTGGCTGAACTAGTGATTACAGTGAACTAGTACCCTCATCATTAATCATGAATTTGATTGTTCTCTAAAAGTGATTAGTTGACTTTATTTAGTAAAGCAAAAAATGAAGGCTACTCAACTAGCAGTCTGACAATTGTGAGAAAACATTCCTATAAGGCTTGGTTTTGTGTTTATTTAGAAATGTGGATGATTATGGCTTTCATTTATTACTTTGGACGAATGGCCTTAATTTAAAATGTGTTCATAGTACTTTGTTGGCATCAATATATTGTCTTTATTTATAGGGTAGAATGTGCTATGTTTAGATTGTAATCTCTGCTGTGGATTTTTTTTAAATTTTATTTTGTTTTGATTTTGAGACGGGCCCTTGTTCTGTGATTCAGGCTGACCTTAAACTCACTCCATAGCCCAGGCGGGGGATCCTCCTGCCTGAGCCTCCTGAGTGTTGGTATCACGGGAATGTACCACATACCTAGCTTTCCTATGTTTTTGACTCGTTAGTTCTACTGTATAGAGATGGGAATGGGAAAATTAGTTGGAATTACTTATAAATTTTATAAATAGAACTTTTTTACATAAAATATGTGGATTGCTATGTAGATTTTTCTTTCCAGTGTTTATGTGGCCTGTATAGTTCATATATTCAATTTGTCAAAGAATAATTATAACTTATTACAAAATTCGTGTTAAGGAAAAAATAATTACCTTAAAACCTTGTCTACTACTGATATTGTAAAATCAACTGGATTTCACAGTTAGTTCAGACTACCTTCTCTGTGACTGGCATTGATAAAGGCTAAAAGCCCATAGCAAGCAGAAGCTTGTGAAGAATACATCTGATTGTAGTAGAAGAAAGGAACTTTGATGGTTCAGACAGTTAGAATAACTGTCTTCCCAAACATTTGCCATTGACAGTGTAATCCTGGGGAGTCATGTAATTTTCTTTCGGAGTCTTCATTTGTAGAACAAAGGGATTGCCCTTGCAAATTTCTTAATCTCTAAATTTAAACTCTGTGCTAAAGAAGTCCATGTATACTGTCTTGGTAACAGTCTGTTCATCTCTGTTTAACAGTTACTGACTTAACCTTAGGAAAATACAGAGGCAGTACAGGAAACAGCTCCTCGAGAATTTTACAGATTGATTACAAAGTTAGTTACAGGATAGTAGCAAATCGAGCAAAATAATAATAGCGGTTACTTTTAGAATACCTCTTCTAGATATTAGACAAAAACTTGTAACAGTGAACAAAAAAGACTTGCATTCGGCCTTTATGACAGTAGCGAGGAAGATTAATTAATTCCACAGATGGTTTGGGCTGGATTGATAATGATAAGAATAAAGAAATCTTGACAGATTGGAAAAATATTAGGGAAAATGAATAGAGCTTTGTTATTGATAAAAAATGTGAGGGAAAGGGAAAAACCATTTCTGATTTGCCTAACAGAACCAAACTGAAATTATATGTTCAGTTTAACTATGTTGAATAGGTCATACATTTACATATGTTATACATATAGTAATTTTAGGGTCTGAGTTTTTAACTAAAGGTAAGAGACTAGCAGCCCTAGACTGAAATCCTGTCTATCGGAATGGTTCTTTATTGCTCATAAGGCAAAATATTTACTTTGTGAGGAGGCTGGGATAAAATCCAGAGCCTCACACATGCCAGGCAAGTGCTCTAACACTGTGGTATATCCCAACCCCTTATTTAACTTCTTTGCATCTGTGTTTTCACTTCTAAAATGAAGAATATGAGTCTTGATGGATTATTGTGAGAGAGAAATGACACAACGACTCAAAAAATGCACATAGAAAAACCAGTATAATGCCTGGTAGATGGAAGGTTCTCTGTTGGTAGCTATATTGCATAGTTTTTTTGTTTTGTTTTTCTGTTTGAGACAAGGTCTCACTCACTGTGCAGTTCAAGCTGGCCTTGAATTCACTTTGTAGCCCAAGCTGGCTTTGAACACACAATAATCCTCCTTCCTCAGCTTTCCTAGTGCTGGGATTACAGGGGTGTGCCACCATGCCCTGCTTATTATCTACTTTTTAACATAGTAGGCACCCAGTGGTGAAGTAGTCAAGTTAGGTGAAGTATGTTGAGGAATTCAAAAGAGTTTGGGATCAGCAAATGGTTTCTGAAGTGTAGGGATGACCTCATGGAAATGAAACTTGCTAAAATTCGAAGAATAAGATGTGTGCTAATTGCTTTCTCATCACTGAGATTCTGTACTTGACACGCAAAGTTAAAGGAGACTCACAGTTTGTAGATATGTCAGTCCATAGTCAGCCGGCTCTCAGGCAGGCCCCAGGGCAGAGGGGAATGGCAGAGGACAGACAGCTCATAGCGTGGCAGTGGGGAGCAGAGAAAGATGAGGGAGGAAGTGGGGAGCGATATACTTCCAGCCATGCCCCCAAAAACCCACCTTCCCCCAGCATCACATTTAGTTATAAACTCATCAGTGGGCACACTCCCATGATCCCATCACCTCCCAAAGCCCAGTCTGTGGGTGTACGAGGCTGGGGAGGACATCTTGATATAAGCCATTAAAAGATGAATGTGAGCATGGCTGGTGGCACATGCCTGTAGGCCCAGCACTTGGGAGGCTGAGGCAGTAGGATCATTGCAAGTTCAAGACCAGCCTAAGCTACACAGTGAGCTCAAGGCCAGCTTTAACAGCATAGTAAGACCCTGTCTCAAAAAGACAAAAGAAAGAAAGAAAGAAAAAGATAAAGTTGAGTGAAAGAGAAGGTTGTTTCTCTTTTCCTTAATAGCCTTTTATTTCTTTTTTTTTTTTTGTCTTTTTCATTTTTTATCGGTACTGGGGATCGAACTCACGACCGCCTGCTAGCAAGGCAGGTGCTTATGCATCTGAGCTAAATCCCCAGCCCTTAGCCTTTTATTTCTTTGAGTAAACAGAGTCTGCCAAAAAAAAAAATGTATACACACTTCAGGAAAAGAAAAACTTGTGGTAAATATTTTAAGACTAAATTTATTGAGACATCATGAGATTAATACAAGTTATCTTTGGCGTCTATAATTATAAGAGGTACACAAAGTGATGACCCTAGCTTCCAGATTTTTATTAGTATAGAGAAGTGCTGCATGGCTAACCTTTGTTATTGAGATTGCTGCACGTGCATCTTCAGTTTTTCTCTTAAGGACTGGCAGTGTAGTGGGTTTTCTGCAGTATATGACATTCTTTAAGAATGTCACCAAAAGGTGACATCATCTATTGGAAAACATTATTCTGTTTTTCTTGTCCTAAAGTGTGTATTTATTTATTTGGCTGACTCCATATATTGGGCAGAGAGACCTTCAGACAAGTGGAGGAAAATTTTACAGAAGGATCGAGATAATGTTATTGAGAGTTGTACAGACTAGAAAGAAAAGTTGAAACAAAAACATGGCCTTTATGGGCTTTTGAACAGGACACTGATTATGTGCAGTGTATATGGAAAGTTAGTCTGGAAGAGTTATGTGGGATGGAGACCTTGGAAGTTCTTTTATGATAGAAGGACTTGCACTAAGGATGTGGTATTGAAAATAAACACCTTGAAGAAAAAGACAACAGATTTTGGCAAGCAACAGATAAGAATGGGATCACAAGGTTAAAATTTAGAGGCCAAGTAAAATGGACAAAACTGACGTAGAAAGGAAAATTAGTTAGTGGGATATGTGAGTAAGTTGGGTCCAAGATGGCAAAGTCAAATTGGGAATGCCCAGATAATTAGAGATACAGTGCTTGGCCCTGGGTCTGAGAGGCAGGTCACGTGTTCCCTAGCTGTTCCACAGAGGCATGGCCTAGGGGTTGTTGCTAAGAGTGTCTGCACTGAGGCATGAGTAAGACTCTCCCTGGAATCAGCAGTTACTCTGGTTTTACCTATTTTGCAGACAAATTATGGCAGGTATTTTATTGTTTACTGGGGACGGGGTCAGAGAGAAAAAGAACTTATGGGTTAAAAAACTTGGAACGCTGTTATTTTAGCAGTGAGTGAAAGTTTGAGAATGAATGTGCTTTCTATCAGAACTGCCTTAGGAAGAAGGGGAATCAAGGAAGGAGACCATTATCATCAGTATGTATTTAATAAGTTAAGGAGAAATAAGCAGATAGAAATTAGAGAGACCATGTAAGACCAAGGCTAGCAGCCAGGAGGAGGAAAATGTGAGGTACTGGTTCAAACAGAAGTTGGCAGTGGGGAGCCTTGTACAAATGAGTTAATAGAATTTTACATTATCTTAGACTTTTTTTTTTTGAGACGGCTTCACTATGTGGTTCAGGTTGGTCTTAAACTCACTATGTAGCCCAAGCTGGCTTCAAATTTGTGATAACCCTCTGCCTCAGACTTGAGTGCTAAGATGATAGCCATGTGCTACCGTGCTCGGTGTTATCATAGACACTGAATTAAGAAACAAAATCTTAACACTCCCGTAGAATCTAATTTGTAGTTTTTGTCTGTACCAGAGAACTAGCTATTGTTTATAAACTTGTTAACGTGATTTTGTTCCTTTAACTGAAAATAAAAAACGAAGCTTTTTTCTGAAATTGAACAGTTTGAAGGCATTTATTCTCTGTGCCTGGCTATTGAATGGCTAGCAAATTTAAATAGTAAGCAGATAAAGATATTCATGTTCTTATATGCGTTAACCTATAAACTCATCTCTTTAAGAGTCATAGCCTTCATAAGAAGTACTGCTTAGTATTACTCAGATTCTGCATCTGGACCTACTTGCTGAGAGCACTTAGAAAGGGTGCTAAGTGAGATAACTTTAGTTATCTTAGAGTATTTATCTTGAGGTGTGGAATGTTAAGTGATTTGTTTCATTTTTGTCCCTCTTGCTATAGCAGTGCACTAAGTTGACATGTCTTTGTTGCAGTTTATATATGGAAGTTTGCCCAAAGCCTCATGCGCTCAAAGGTGGGACTTGGGAAGGTGGATCAGTGAGGATATGACCTGGAAGAGTACATCTCTGCTTCCGGGCTGCCATGAGGTGGATAGCTTTCCCCCACTAGCTTGTGCCATGTCTTCCTGCCTGAGAGCCTGCCAACTATGGAGTGAAACCTGAGTCAAAATAAACCTTTTCTCCTTTAAGTTATGGGTGTGGGGTATTCTGTCCCAGTGACCAGGAAAGTGACCAAGACATTCTTAAAACGTTTTCACCACCTGGGCATGGTGCTCATCTCTGTCAGCTGTTTGGGAAGTTGAGGGAGGAGGGTCATAGTTAGAGACTATGCTGGACAGTTAGGGAGAAAAGAGCTATAGCTTCCTGGTAGTGTTTGCTTAACATTGGTGGAGGCACTGTGTTCAGTCTTTAATACTTAAAGGAAAAACATACTTTAGTAAGAGTCATTAAACTGGGTGTGGTGGCACACAGGTTTATGTAATCTCTGGAGGCGGAGGTGGCAGGATAGGGCTGTGAGTTCAAGGCCAGCCTGAACTACAAAGTGAGACTCTGTCTCAAAAAAAAAAAAAAAAAAAGCCAATACTTACATGACATAATTAGAATAGAATTTTAACTCAGCTGTCGTGACAAAGGCTTGCTTTGACAATAATATTGAACAGTTTCCTATTAATACATTAGTAGTAAATTCTTTATTCTGAAATAAAAAAGATAATGCTAATGTTTTTCAGACTGTTAAAAAAAATTGACGATATTGAAGATTGAACCCAGGGCCTTTTTACTGAGCTACTTTCCCACCACGGTCTTGCCAGATTGCTCAGGCTGGGTTCAAACTTTTGATATGCTTAGCTTTCCAGAGTACTGGGATTGTAGGAGTGCATACCACGCCTGGCCAAAAAAATAACTTTTTAAGTAATTTTTTTCTGATGTAGGGGGTAAAACTGAGTCTACCTTACCCTTGTGTGATAAGCACACTACTTGTGAGCTACATCCTTAATCTATATTTTGTAATTTTAAGTGTGCTTTTGGGCAGCTTGAATGTTGATATATATTTTATTAGATGGCGAAATTTTGTACCCAATTAAAAAATAAGTATACTGAGGAATATTTTTCTAGGTTTTTTCTCCTTCTAAGCATTGTGCAGTTTTAATTTTGCTTCCAAAGCAAATAAGGATTAAGGAATTGAAAAAAGTCCGTATTTCAGAATGCTGTCTGAGGTTCTCTCTCTGTTTCATTTTTTGGTATACTACTTTTATTTATAAATAATATTTATTTATAAAATATAAATAAATATATTTTTATATTATATTAAAATATAAAAAATCATAAATATGTTTATATATTTATTTATAAATAATATTATAGTGTTTTCCTTCCAATTTTCTGCTGCTTGATTGAATTACCTTTCATCTTAGTTGTTTTTTGTTATGTGATGATTAAACAAATTATTACAATTTTTTTTTTGGTACCAGGAATCAAACTCAGAACCTTGGTCTTGCCAAGCAGGTGCTTATACCACTGAGTTATATCCTTGGCCCAACAAATTTTAATTTTTAAAGTTTTCTTAAAGTCCTCGTAGAGTTATAGACTACCAAATTGTGCTGAACTTTGTGTTTAATTTTAACATTTTTTTGAAATATTATAGCGTCAATAGCTGTACATTCCCCACAAAAAAGTACTAAAAATCATGCCTTGCTGGAGGCCGCAGGACCAAGTCATGTTGCAATCAATGCCATTTCTGCCAACATGGACTCCTTTTCAAGCAGCAGGACAGCAACACTTAAGAAGCAACCAAGCCACATGGAAGCTGCTCACTTTGGGGACCTGGGTAAGTGACTTTTTGTTAACTTCTCATAGAGGAAGGAAATGAGTACAATATGTGGAATTCCTGTTATAGGAAACTAAACTATATTGTTGGAAAGGACTAGAAAAATATACTTAAACTAAAATAACAGCAACACATACAATGGGGAGTACTGTTATATTCCTATAAATAAAAAATATATAGTATGGCCAGGAGGAGAAATACATTTGACCACTAATTAAAAATGTATGAAAAATATGCTTCACTTTGGTAATACAGAAATGCAAATTAAACAGTTAAAACACATTAGCATATATTTAAATTTGATGAGTTGGATGTTTTCATAGAGATTCAGGGAAATGACCACTCCCATTTAATGATGATATCAATTGGTAAAGACTTTTTGGAAAGTAGTCAATTTGAAAATATTTATTGAAGTATAAAATATAACTGGGAGTGGTGGCATAGGTCTGTAATTGCAGCTACTCAGAAGGCTGAAGTAGGAGGGTTGCAAGTTTCAGGCCAGGCCAAGCAATTTAGCAGCATAAGAGTAAAAAAGGTCTGGGGTATAGCTCAGTGGTAAAGTACTTTCCTAGTATGTGATGACCCTAAATTTAATCCCTGATACTACAAACAGTGTACTTGTGGATGTGTCTTTGTGGAGGTGTATGTGTTTACATATGTGTGCCATTTGGACAACACTTCTTTTTCCAAGATTTAGTCCTCAGATATGCTCATACATAAGCACAAAGATATATATGAAAGTATGTATAAGTCTATTTATAGTAGTATTGTTTGTGATAGCAAAAAATGAGAAACTATAATAAATATTAATAGAAAAGTAGTCAAATTGTGGTGTGCTCATAACACAGAATATGGTATAGCTATTTAAAAGTCTAACAAAGACATTTAGAGAGCTAGGTGTGGTGGTGGTTGCCTGTAATCCCCATACTCAACGGCAGGAGGATCACTGAGAATTCAAAACCAGCCTGGGTACATAGTGAGTTCAAGACTAGCCTGAACTACTTAGTGAAACGTTGTCTCCAGAAACATAGACAAATTAATTAACTTAAAAAGCCATGCAACAGTGAACAAAGTAGGTTGAGTGCAGTATATAGTAAGATCCCATAGTAGATCTTTGAGTAGTTGTTACTCAAATTTCTTCACTTAAAAAAACTGGGTGAGTAGTGTAATTCTAGCACTCTATAAGGCTGAGGCAGAATTACAAGTTTGAGCCCAGCCTGGGAAATTTATTGACTTGGTGAAACCCTGTTTCAAAACAAAAAATGAAAGACCTGGGCTGTTCCTAAGTGGGAAGTTCTGAGTGCAATCTGTAGTACTACAGAAACAACAAGGACAGCAACAATAAAAAACACCCCAAAATTGCATGTCATATTATTATAAGATGAAAAAAATGCATGAATGAATTGATTCTAATAAAATTTCTCCCACTTTTGACATCTGTCTGCCTAACATTTATGTATAGGCAAAGCCAGGGAGAATATCAGCATCTTTGTGGGTAATGTGCAGCAATACATTGCAAACAAGGTGCTTATTCATTATAAAATATTAATTTTTGCTAGATACATTTCTGCTTGGAATGTAAAATGATATAGCTACCTTGGAAAATAGCTTGGAAGCTTCTTACAAAGCTAAACATGAAGTTACCATGTGACTCATTAATTGCACTTCGAGATATTTATCTTGAAGAAATGATAATATATCTCTATACAAAAACTTATACAAGAATGTATGTCTCGGGCCGGGGATTTAACTCAGCTGTGTAAGGGCCTGCTTGGCAAAAGTGAGGTCTTGAGTTTGATTTTTGGCACAAAAAAAAAAAAGAATGTATGTCTTAGCCTCCGAGTGAAAAAGTAAATGTCCTTCAACAGGTGAATGAACTGGTACGTGCATATCCTAGAATACTCTTAGGGTTAAAGAAGTGTAATCTCAAGGGCATTCTTCTGAGACAAAAGCCAGTATCTACAGTGTAGCATGATTCTGTTTGTATTTACATCCTTGAAATGACAAAATTAGAAAAATGCAGAACAGATTAGTGTTTGTCAGAGGTGAGAGGGTAGATGAGTATGGTTGTAAGAGAGGCAGCAAGCACCCTGTGGTATTGAAACTTGCTGTGTCTTAGCAGTAGATATAGGTAGATACACAAGATAAAATTACATAGGACTAAACATCTAGTACAAGTAATGAAGCATATCTGTGTCAGGATCCTGGTATATACTGTAGTTTTGTAAGATATTACCATGTGGGCTTCACACACAGGCTAGGCAAGTGTTCTACTGTAGAGCTAGACTCTTAGCCTTTCAAATGATCTTTCTATGTTACTTTTTATGAGTGCGTGTAAATCTATAATTAAAAGAAATGAACTGTTTGTTTTTGAGACAGAATCTTGCTATGCAGTTCAAGCTGGCCTTGGACTCACTTTGTAGCCTAGGCTGTTCTGAAACTCCCAAAGATCCTCCTGCCTCAGCCTTCCAAGTGCTGGGATTACAGGCATGTGCTACCATGCCCGGCAAGAAATAAACTCTTTAGTTAAAAGAAATTATAAATCTTTGGAAAACCAGAACTTCCTTAAATTCGTGAAGTGATGTCAGAGTTGGACATCACTTGGCAATAAGATGGTTACTGAGGATGATGCCACATAAGGATGCTTCAAAGAAGTAGATTTGAATATCAAAGAATTAAGGAAAGCCCTTTGGAAAAATCTGTGAAACCATCAGTTAATTTTATCAAAATGACCCACTTTATAAGATGCTATGAAGGTCAAAAATTTTAACTTTTTTGTTTATTCTAATCGTTAGCTTGTGGTTATAGTAACCTAAATTTAGCTAAAATAAATGTAACTTATATCAAGTTTAATTTTTTAAGATCCCAAAGCTATTTTTCATTCTGTTATAAATAATGCTGAGACTTCATAAAATCTTTATTTATCAGCAGTTTCACTCCAGCATAATTACCTACAAAGTGGTTACTAGATTGAAGATTACAGTTTGCTAATGATTTCCTATGGATGTCTGAATGCTCTACTATAAAGATCTTGTCAATTTATATTATTACCAGTATGTGAGAGTGTTGCCTGTATACTTCTGTTTGTTAGTTTTTGAAAAATCATTTTTCAATATGATAGGCAGAAATGTTATCTTGTATTCATTTGCTCTTTTCTGGATTGACTGATTTTGTCTCTTTAAGACAGGGTCTTTCCATGTAATTCAGACTGAATTCACTGTGTGATCCAGGCTGGTCTTAAGTTTGTGGTGATCTTTTTTTTGTGTGTGTGATGATCCTCTTTCCCTACCTTCCAATGCTGGGATTACAGGAGTGCGTTACCCTACTCAGCCTCTTCTAGGTTTTTAATGAGGTTGAAGACTTTTTCATATTTGTAGTGGCCCTTTTTCTTTGGGAATAGTATCATAAGATTTTTTTTTCCTTTAAGAAAGTACATAGTCTGGGGCTGGGGATTTAGCTCAGTGGCACAAGTGCCTGTCTGGCATGCACAAGATCATGAGTTTGATCTCTGGTACAAAAAAAAAAAAAAAAAAAAAAAAACACATGATCTGAATTGCCTCTAGAGGAAATATAAAGATTGAGTAATAAAGTGCTTTTTAGTAATTTGAGTTTTGGGCTTTTTTTTTTTTTTTTTTGGCTTAGAAATCAAAATTACAATATCTTCAGTTCTTTATTCATTTTAATTGCCTGGAAATAAACTTTATCCTAAACCTCTGATACCACTATTGCTAAAGGTAATTGAAAGTCTGAAATTGTGACTCAGTTACTGATTGTTTTGCTTATTTTAGGCAGATCTTGTTTGGACTACCAGACTCAAGAGACCAAATCAAGTCTTTCAAAAACCCTTGAACAAGTCTTGCATGACACTGTTGTCCTCCCTTATTTCATTCAATTCATGGAACTTCGGAGAATGGAACACTTGGTTAAATTTTGGCTAGAGGCTGAGAGTTTTCACTCTACAACTTGGTCCCGAATAAGAGCACATAGTCTGAATACAGTGAAGCAGAGCTCACTGGCTGAGCCTGTCTCTCCATCTAAAAAGCACGAAACTGCAGCATCTTTTATATCTGAATCCCTTGACAAGAGGTTGGAAGATTCTTGTCCAGCCCAGTTGCTTATGACTCACTCAGAAGGAATTGACCTGAATAATAGAACTAATAGCAGTCAGAATTACTTGCTGCTTTCCCAAGAATGTGACAGTACCCATTCTTTTCATCTTGAAATGGCCAGAGCAGGAACTCATCCAGCTTCCATGGAAACTCAAGAATCCTCCTCTAGACTAACAGTAGCCGGTAGGAACAGTCCCTCTTCTCCACTGAAAGAATTATCAGGAAAACTAATGAAAAGTAAGTATGTGATTTTGTTGTTTCTCTCTCTCTCTGTGTCTCTTACTGTCTTTTACAAAACAGAATTTAAGAAGAGTGAATTTGAATAGTAACTTTTTTTTTGTCTTTTTGAGACAGCCTCTCACTATGTAGTTGAGGCTGGCTGTGAACTCACTTTGTAGCCCAGGCTGGCTTCAACTCACAGTGATGCTCCTGCCTCAACCTCTGGAGTGCTGAAATTGCAGACCAGTTGTGGGCCACCATGCCCGGCTGGAATAGTATATTTTTTCCTGTAAGTTACAAATTTGGAAGGAGTGGATAGAAAAGGAACCGAAAGGTTACCTAGAATCACTATACCTACTCTAAGAAGTTTGCAGAATTGACGAGTGATGCAGGACTAGATAACCTGCTTTTCCTTTCCACAGACTTGGAAATCAAACCATTATCTGGGGAGGGTTTTTTTTTTTTTTTTTTTGGTCTTAACTTTGATTATTGTGGCACACAGAGATGTATGCTGTGATTCCAGCTATTTGGAAGTCCAAGGGCAAAAGGATCACGGATTGAAGGTGAACCTGGGCAACATAGCACCTCATTTTTAAAAATTGTAGTTTTATTTTATTGTCCTTTGCTGATAAATTTTTTGTTTGTTTGGTTTTTGTCTTTTTCCTTTTTGTCGGTACCGGGGATCGAACTCGCGACTGCCTGCTTGCAAGGCAGGTGCTTATGCCGATGAGCTAAATCCCCAGGCCCCTGCTGATAAATTTTTAAAATTATTTTTTAGTTGCCTGTAGCTGTTGCCAGTAGGTGATGTTTATTGAGTTTTGTGCTGTGTTTGTTTGAGTTTTATTTAACAGTTAATGGTTATATGAGGTCTGTATTATCCTGTTTACCTTACATATGAGAAAACTGTGACTTAGAAAGCTTAAATAATTTGCCCTAGATTATAGAGTAAGTAATGAGTTAGACTTGTAACTCAGGCCTTTTGACCACAGTCTCTCTTTTGCTCTTGCTCTTTCCTTTGTTATAGGGTATCAGTTTAAAAGTGCACATTCTTGTTCCTTTATTGAATTCTAATTGAACAGCTTCTGTGGTTTTTTCTTTTATCTATTCTGTGTGTGTGTGTGTGTGTGTTGTGTGTGTGTGTGTAGCATGTGTGTAGCATGTGTGTAGCATGTGTGTTTAGTGTTTCTCAAATGGCTAGGTGATTTTTTTCGGATCTGTCTTTTAGCTCATTAATTTTTTTCTGAAGGTGATCTACTTTACTGTTGAACCAACTTTAGCTTTTTTTTTTTCTTTTTTTTGAGACCGTTTCACTATGCAGTTCACTATGCAGTTCAGGCCTGCATGAACTCACTTTGTAGCCAGGCTGGCCTTGAACTCTCAGTGATCCTCTTGCCTTAGTCTCCCGAGTGCTACGATTACAAGGCTACCATGTTATTTTCTTCGTAAAGTTACTCAATTTTAAATTCTTTTTTCTCTTTTCTTTAAATTAGCTTGATCATTTTTCATAGTGTTTTGTTTCTTTTACCATTCATCCCACCTTTGATTCCATCTTTTATTTCTTTAAATTTATTAAATATATATTTAGTGTCTAGTATACTCTACCATCGATAGTTTTGTGGTTTTCATTCATTGCGTCCTTACTTCTTGAGCTCACATTCTTGTTGTAGTGTATGATTTCACTGGTTTTTGGCTGTGAATGTGTTTTGTGAAGCTTTACTTTCATGCTCTGACTGAGCTTAACCCCTTGTGTTGTAAAGTTTTACTTATGGGTGTGCTTTAGCTGTATTGTTTGAGGTTTCAAGTGTGTTCATATTTTTACTTTTTCCATGTACCTGGGACCTACTTAACTGCCCTACTGATAACACTTTCAACTAATTTCTTATTGGTTTTTTTTCACGCCCTAAATCCATGAGAGTACAGTCCTGGTCAGGGATTGTCAAAGGAGATTTTTTTCTTTCTGGCACCAACATACTATTGTTTACCCATCTGAGAGAGGTTTTTTTGTTTGTTTGTTTTTTGTTTTTCTCTCCCCTCAGTTAACCCACCAAAGATAATACCTGGGATTCTGACCTTAGGCATGCTTTTATCCTAATTTTCTTTTTTGGTCCCTGGGCAGCTGCCCTTAAAAGTGCAAATTGCCAAGTTTCCAGAAGCTGGTGTTTTTTTTTTGCCTCAAATGTGGCCTCTGCCTTTCAGTGTTTTTTATCTGTCTAGATTTGCAGTGGTTCCCACAAAATCCAAAAGCCTTGGTTAACTAGAGTTATTTTTTAACTGAACAAAATATGGCCTGACTTTTTCCTTTTCAGAATATTTTAAACTTTTGAATTTTTTTTTTTTCCATGTGTAGAACTATTTACAAGTTTCTTCAGTTTGTGACCTTTTAAGGAACTGTTTCACTGAATTGCCAAATTTATGTTTTGGTTTTTTTGGTACCGGGAATCGAATTCAAGCCTTTGTGCTTTCCAGGCAGGTGTTTATGCTGCTGAGCTATATTATGTACTTTCTTTTGTACCCTTTGAATCATCTCCTAATTCCTTATACAATGTATGTGCCATTTAAACAATTGTTGTAGCGTGTCATTTAGGGAATAATGACAGGAAACATGTTGTTCACTTTCAATGCAGAAATACTATTTTTCAAATTAAAATTATGGGCATGTAATTATTCAAAGGATTCCCCTTTTATCTTTCAATCTATGACTTGCAGTGGTATCTGTCTTTCATTCCTGATGGTTGGTAATGTGTTTTTGTATTTTCTTTGTCAGAAAGTAAAGAAGTTTGTCTGTTTTTTCAAAAACCAGCTTGTGATTTTATTTTATTTTTTTTTGTTGTCTTTCTATTTTCAGTTTATTACCTGCTCTTTATTTTTTACTGGGGACTTTGGGTATGTTTATGTGAGGAATTATCTCACTTGTCCAGACTAAAACCAACCAACTGACCAAACAAAAAACCTAGACTCCAGAGGCAGCAAAGTGAGGCTTTTAATCAAAACTTTGCAAGGGTGGTACCTATATGAAGACAAGCACACCCACTTTGAGTAACTGAGTGTTTTAATTTGTAGCTGGCAGTCATCTCCCATGGCCTGGCATCCAGTGTTCACCATCTCCCCAGGGAAGTTCATCCCATACCTGTTTCCCCTCCCTAACCTTTCCTTTTTATCCTCTCTTCTCTATTTCTCTTCCTTAGTTCTTTTTAGCTTGAAGACTCTTTATCTCTAAAGTGAACCTTTGTACAGCATGAGTGTCCTTGTCTGCTAGTTGAATGAGCTAAGTGTAAGGATGAGAGCTTACCAAAAGTAGTTAATGAAATATGGGCCAGCTACTATATTCTTCCTGGTTTTTTATGATACAAGTTTCGATGAATTGACACTTTTCTAAGGTAAACATTCAGTGCTATAAAATTTCTTCTAACTAGTACTTCAACTATACCCCACAAATTCTGACATTTAAAATGAGCAGAAATGAAATGTCTGATTTCTCTTGAGTCTTACTCTTTTATTTATGGCTTATTTAGAAACATGTTTACTATCCAAGCATTCAGAGATTTTTGGTGTTAACTTCTTTCTATTCATTTCTCATTTAATTATGGTCAGAGAACATATTTTTAATAGTTTCAATTTTAAATTTCTTACATTTTAAGTGACCTAAGGCAGTGCTGGTGAACCTATGGTACGTGTGCCACAGTCTGTTGTTTGTTATTGAAATCTCTAAAAGGGTCGCCATCACCAACCTAGGAGATGGTCTATCTGTGAATAGCCCAGGTGCAATGAAAATAATGTCTGCTGTTTAGAAGACAGTTTTTTATAAATACTAGATTTAATTAGTTAATGACACTTCTTCTATATCTTCACCGATATTTTATGTGCCGTCATGTTATTCTACTACTGAGAAAAGTATTAATGTCTCCAATAATAATTACAAGTTTTTCTAAGTCTCATTTTTAGTTGTTGTTTTTCTTCTTCTTCCTCTTCCTCTTCTTCCTCCTTTTACTTCCTCCTCCTTCTTCCTTCTTGTTCTTCTTCTTTTTGTTTTTTTGGTGTTTTTTTGAAGTAGTGTTTCCTTATATGGTTCAGGCTGCCTTGAACACACCTCGTAGCCCAGGCTGGGAACTTAAGGCCATCCCCCTACCTTAGCCTCCCAAGTGCTGGGAGTGCTGGGATTATAGGTGTGCACTACCAAAATGCCCAGTTCATCAGTTGTTTTCATTTAATGTATTTTGAGGCTTTGTTATTAGTTATTTGGAATCATATCTTTGTGGATGGAGGATGTAGCTCAGTAATAGAGTGTGAGTCCTTAGGTTCAGTTCCCAGTGCAGGGTCAAGAAAATCAAACAGAATAAAACAGTTAAATCTGAGCAACTTTCAGAACAGAGGTAGCTGAAGGGACATGTGTAATGTAGTGTTCTCAAACAGAAAAAGGGGACATTACAAAAATCTAGTAGAAACATATCCTTGATGGTAATTTCTATTGTTCTGAGGTCAGAAATATTTATTGTCTGAGTTACATAGTCAAATTAGCTTTCATTTATTAGTGCTTACATGGTATTTCTTTCTCTGTTCCTTTCCTTTTGAGCTACGTTTATCATTTTACTTTGGAGTTTCTTTAGGCAGCATATTATTGGGCCAAATTACTTTATTCTAGAACATCTCTTTTTTTTATTTAATAAAATCTTTATAATTTAGTAAAATCTTTATATTAAATACTAACTTTGTTGTGCTTGTATTAACAGAGTTTTTTGTTTGTTTGTTTTTTTAATGGTACCAGGGATTGAACTCATGACCTTGCTCTTACCAGGAAGGGACTTATGCCACTGAGTTAAATCCTTGGCTTGTACTTGTATTAAATATAGGTATTGTACCATGATTATATTACCATGTGGAAATACAATTTTAATGTTAGGTAATATAATTTTAGTGGGATCACATTAAATGTAACATACCCTATGTTTTTCACTTTTTTTTTTTTTTTCTCCCTTCTTGAGTCAGGGTCTTACTATACAGTTCAGGCTGGCTTTGAGCTC